CACCGTCAAGGGCGTCAAGGAAAAGAGCGCACTTCCTCCACCTCGTCCAGCGCCCGGGGCGGAGCCACCAAAATTCAGCGACAAGATCCCTGACAAGAAGGTGGCTTTGTTTCCGGAGGGGTTCCGCAAGCTCGAGAAATATGTGTACCCATACTTGGACACAGTTGACGATATTTCTTCAGAACCGTACCCTTATCCAGACGGATACGAGGTGAAGCAACCTCCATCCCAAGCCGGCGGTGAAGAGGGCGGTAACCCCGATCTGTGGGAGACATATGTCACCATCCAGGCGGACGTCACCAACACCGGCGCTGTAGCAGGCAAGGTCGTCCCCCAGTTGTACATGTCGTACCCGAAGAATGTGCACGGCGTGGACTTCCCCGTCAAGGTCCTTCGCGGATTTGACAAGTTCAACTTGGAGAAGGGCGAGAAGAAGACCGTCACGTTCAATGTGACACGCCGCGACCTCAGTTACTGGGACGTACGGCAACAGAACTGGGCGATGATTACGTTTGGAGAGTATTCGTTCCTTGTTGGCGAGAGCTCGAGGCATCTGACGCAAATGGGCAGTTGGTAAACAGTTGTTGAATATTTCTTTGGTTTCCACTGTTTTGAAGCCATGTATGTTTATGAATTGAAGATTGTGGGAAAACACATATGGGAGTTTCGTTTCTGATTCAGTATTGTTGTACATGATGAGACTACATAGGGTCTCGTGAAGGTGGCTGATCTACGTCTGTAGAATGTGAATAGAGCTACTTGAATACTGTGACGTTTAATTCAAGCCCTGGTTGACTTGAATATGTTTTACTCGTACTCGGGTGTGGCGAAAGTGCTGGGAGCGTCAGTCTATCTGAGAGGAATCATGGCCAGAATCATTCACACTGATCCACGACTCAAGTTGCAAGGCGAGGAAGGCGCAAAGCACGGCACATCCGGAGATAGTGATGGAGTTGCATGGTGGCGAGTTGATGTAGGCATTCAAGCTGGAATCGGACCGGTCTTGAGACTGTATTCCAAGGTAGAGGTGTTTGACTAGGTACTGGAAGAAGAAGTTTCTTGAGGTACCAGGCTTCCAAGCAACCATGTGCCGAATGCCGCATGACGTTTGACCTGATGATCATTTAGGTCTCGTCATCCAGGCAACAGCGACGTGTGTTTGGATAGACTTGTTCCAGGCAGATGTCTGCCAATACGACGCAGTAATGAACGTACTAGATGTTGTCGGCTTGCTATGAAGTCATTGAAGGCATATTGAAACTTCGCGGAGTTCACGGAGTGTGGTCAGCAGGTTTACTGGCAATGTGGCCGTGGGAAAGAGCTCCACTCCGTGAGATAAGCGGAGGCCGCTGGGCTCGGGGACCTCGATCATTCTCTTTTTGATCAAAGGTGTGCGACACAGTGGATTGCTGTTACCCGATGCAGTCAGCAGCAGAGAAACAATTGGAAGTAGGTAGTGAGAAACACGTGATCGGCTCTGCGATGGGTAAGCCCAACCTCATAAATCTCACCAACCCAACGAGCTGTCTGCGCGAGGAGTGGGGGTTGCAGGCTTGTTCCAAACGCCGTCAAGTATTTTCTAACTTACCTACGTCACGTGTGGTCAACTTGAACGATTCTATAATTTCTTTCTGGCTTACAGAGCAGAGTGCAGTATGTTGACGGCTGACATATCATCGGTTGTCGTGAGAATGTGACGTCCCGACGTGAATCACTGGCTATGACGAAGCGCCCCGAACAGAGACCATTTCGCCATGGCAGCGAGTCTAATTCATGGTAGAATCCACTACCGACACAACAGAATCTGAGGTCCGGTTACGTCCGGCGTGGGGGTGTTGAAGTTGAGATGATGTGAAGGTGGAGATGGAGATGGAGACCGGAGGGGAGATTTGGAATGCCATACAAGGCACTTGAGCGCACCAGGCGACAGGACTTTCGCCTCCGCCCCGGCTCCGGCGGAGTTCACGATGGCAAGTGCTTGTCAAGTGGAGGGATGTAAGAGCGGATGCAAGGCACTGCTTCCAATCTTGCATTCAAGACACCCTGGAAGCTGTGGAAGCTGCTCAAGAAGGAGCCATAACTCGAGGCACATGCCTGAAAGGTAACTTTAGGTAGGTCGGCTCCCTCCATGAGAAATGATTCCCCATTGGGAAAGAAAGAATGAGAGCTACGGAGCTTCCTCCTTGTCTCCTTCTGCCGTCTCGTCGGATTATCAGGAGCCGGATGGCTTAGGGAGGAGCGACGGGGCAAGCCACATCCGCAGCGAATCACGGCCCTTGCTTCCCTCTTTCTTCGGATTTCCATTGGCCGATAGTATCCACTTGAGCTTATAAACTGGGCCACTCGCATTAGGCTGTGGCGCAGTCGAGAGCATTGTGCTGTCAGATCGCTGTGTGCGCGTGTGACGTTTCTCTGTCTGCCATCTGCTTGTTCTCTTCTTCCCAGCTTCCATCCATGCTTCATCCCGTCCTCTCATCCCAACTTGTGTTAGTCGCCGCGCTTGCTTCCAGTCTACCGCGAGTCTCCCGGCCCTGTCCGACCTTTCGAGCCGTAACACAGCAAACCAAATGCTTCGCATCGCGCTTATAATCCTTTCTTCCTGGGCCATAGACGGCGCTTCCGGTATCTCCGCTCTTCTGGCGCTTGGCTCATCGTCAAGTGCTCCTCCGGGGCATACAGAATCCTCGAGTCTGCCTCGCCAAATACCCAACACGGGGTTTTCAAGGCTATTCTGACATCTTTGTATGCTTTTCGCTCGGCTCTTGGAATCCTGTGTCGGATGGGGCAAATTGCTTCCTTTGGAGCATCCTGTTGATACAGGATCGACCAGACAGATCTCCTTACGGCTACAGTATGTCGATCGATCTGCTCAGGTAGGGCCGGATCTTACAGCTACTCCCAGCCTCAACTTCAGCAGCCCGTCGTCGACTTCCAGAAGAAACCCCTCGGCCCATAATCATTGGCCCAAGACCCTAGCAAGCGGGAAGTTTGGGAGCCGAGGCACCGGCTTAGCCATGCCTCAAAGTCTAGAACCAGAATCACCCTAGTACTGTTCCCAGCCTCTAGGAACGCCAAACAAGCGTGCAGGATGCCCAACCTGAAGCAGACGACAACCTCTATCCTAATGATCGAATCCTTCACAACAGGGATTCAAGATTCCTCACAATGGGTCCAGATCGGAGCTCAGAGTCCCCTCCGACACATGAATAAAAGAGTTCGAGCGGCGGGGCAGCTGAAATGCAGACCAACCAACCCGTGGGTAAAGCTACCTGGTTGACACTCAGCCCTATGGAAGCATCCCCGCATCTACGGAGTACGACTTACCTACTACAACGTGGTTGGTGTCTGGGATGCTCAAACATCACGCGAGCTATGCAAGGTTGAGACAGAGCTTGGTTCGCGCTTGCGGATATCTACCTCGACCCTTTTTGACACTCTTGTAGGTTACTTCTGCAGACTCGCGCCTACGTGCCGCTAAAATCCTTGCATACGTCCTCTCCGTGCCCGGCCTCAATGCTATTCCGGCCCCCTCAATCTGTATTCCGTTGGCACCGCGGCAGAACACCAGGCCCGTTTGTCGCTTTACAATTCATAGTCGTATCTGCACGTCTACTGCAAACCACCCCTCTGAGACTTATTGGCCCATTGGCGACAATCATCAAGCCTCCACCGAAGAAGCTAACAGACCTCCGTCGGATTGCCAGACAGAGCCTCCCATCTTGGTCAGCAGTAATGCCTTGTACTGGGTTTCGCCATCCTCCGCCACAGTCGAAACGTCCGCTATATGCAATCTTCACCTGACGATAGACCGGGGACGCCCGAACAATCACGGGCCGGGACTGGCGTGGGGTGGGCAACCATTAGTCCCTGCCATACGATCTGTCCTCCACTAAAATCTGACGTTGTCTTCTGGGGACCCTGCCACCCTCTGTTCCCGTTGACCGGCTGCCCAAACACCCTATGAGATGGCTCTGATCATTGACACTATGCCTGGTAGGGCTGCAGCTACGACATTCGCGCAGCCAGAACCACCCCGGAAGCATGCATGTTTAGGCTGTCCCGGCTTCTGGGGTCGGTCTATCGCGATTCCCATCGTCATCCGCTAAGGTGGGGAGCTCTTCTGGAGCTCGAGACAAAAATACGTCTGCTCTGTCAGCAGTTTTACTCATCGGCACCTGTATGCGATGTGGCCAATCACTGACCTCAACCTCGTTCTCTCGCCCATCACACTGCATGTCGTCCCCTCACAAGCATCCAAGTCTTGGGAGAAAGAGTGATCGAAGTCGCGAGCATGTTCTTCAACCAGACCTGCAGCATAGCCGGTCTTCTGGGAATGGTTGAGGATTCTGGTCAGGAGCCCAGTGATCCCCCGTTTCGCTGTCCCTGGTCATGGCACACCCATTCTTCGGTCTGTCGACTTGGTGGACGCCCCTTTGATATGGTTGCCGTAACCCCTGACGTCCTTTCCGATGCCTTCATCAGCCTCAGCCTCAGCTCCGGACTACGTCTACCTCCGGGTGGATGCTTCCTCACCGTTTAGAGTTCAAACGATTGACTACCATTGCCGGTGCGTTGTCCGGCACTGACATATGTTGTGGCTGGGTCAGCCCATATCAATATGATGCACTATCGTATGCTGCCACATTTGGCTGCAATCTTCTTCTTCTGGCTCTGGAAGAACGAATCTTGACCATACAAACACATTCTGTCGTTTCAGATACCCGACACAGAAGCGACTTTTCTTCGGTGTTACTCCATACCAAGCTTTTCTGACGGCCTTTGCCGACTGTTTGAGGCACCGCAAACTCACATCATCACTCATCTCGTGATACGCCGTCTCCGGTTCGACTACTGCGGATCTCTTTCGAGTATTCAACAGCTATCTTGGGTCACTGAGCTCCGCCGACGTCATTACCAACAGCGAGGCACATCCAGTCGGAAGGTGTCTGATTACTTCGATCGACCCATCTACTCGGTTCGCAGATTCTACCCCGAAGTGGATGTCTGTCGTGATGAGCATCAAGCTCGAAGTCGAGGAACAGGATATATCACTAGCTTCCCCCGATCTGAACCTGCCACTTTCTTTTGACCATAGCCACACGAACATCATCCAGCTTGAAGATCAAATAGACTCGGATACGCAGTACACAGTCGAGGATATCCTTGTCGCCTTTGCGCCGCCATCAGTTAGTCAGGAGTCTCATCCTTCCCGCAGACCGTCATCAACCATGTCATCGTCGCGTTCCGGCCGTTCGGGAGGGTCATCAAGCCACCACCGTAGCTCCAAGAGTAGCAAGAAACCAAGGGCGGTTCAAGTTAGTCACGGTCTCCTCTTTGTACTACCCCCCCTGTTCAACAAGCATGCATCACTACATCTAGCTTTCTCATCCATCTTAATTCTCAAGTCCAAGATGAGACTGCTTTACCCGATCCTCCTTCTTCATCGGGCACCGTACTGACCTTTAATTATTCATAGCGCTCAATCCAACAACTCATCGAGTCCCTAGAGACGCACAGAGTCAACACCCTCACAGAGCTCTGCCGTATCGAGCGCGTGGCGGCTACCTGCGAGAACGAGGAAGACGCTCTAGCCTTCCAAGGACCCATGACCGCCGCCTGGGACTACTATGTGAACAGCAATCAGTTTCTCACGGAACTCCGCGGCCTGACACGGAGCTACCCCCTCTGCAGCGACCTCCTCTACGACGCTCACGTCCGCGTGCGCAACGATCCCAATTCGAACAAGAGCTGGAACCTGGCCTGGTTGTGTCTTGTCAAGATTCAGGAAGAGTGAGTACTACCATCACCGTGATCGAACCATACCATGAGAGATGAGGGCTGACATTTGTTCCCTTTGCGATTGCAGTGATCTCGTGTCCGGATACGCGGCTCTGGAGGCCACCAAGCCCGAGATGTGGGGAGGTCGCGAGCCCTCTACCGATGAGGCGGCCCAGCTCGGCGCCTGCTTCGAATATGAATGGAACAAGGCCGTCGACACGATGTTGCGGCACTGGTCCGTTCCCCCGACGTGGTTTTAGTCTGGCAGTGGGGGGGGGGGGGGACTCACGATCATGATGAGCCGGCCTACATGAGCGCGACAATTCAGTAGACGGATGGAGAAAGATTTACGACACGCATCTAACGGGGTCCATTTGTGTTGCTTGGTATTAGAGCATGAGCGAGCGAGGGAGAGAAACTTCTCTCTCAGGGCATAGCATTGGCATGGGGATTTTGGGCATTGGGAAGAAGCATCGCCATACACCACTCAGTCTCACGACAATGGTCGGATATTGTAGCAATTTTTGGGCATTTTTGTTGTACTTGTTCCTTCTAGAAGAGGTGTCCAAGTCACCAGGTTGCATTCATAGAGGGCTTCTGGCAAGCCCTACGGATAAATCTCATCTACCCATATATAGAAGCATCAAGAGAGGAGAAGCATTTATTCCTGCACAACTTTGCTCTCGGTTGAATGAGTATGAAATCTCACAACTATGCTCAGAGCACTGCACGCTACAAGACGCGTCAAACTCTCCCACAAAACGAAGCATCATGAACGCGTGGGTACCAGCTAAGCGCAACGGGCATTAACTATTTGACGACGCAAGATTATGCCTAGATCACTACAGGCCCAAGACGTAGACTATTCTAGAATCATCGAATCGCTTAGCAAGCAAGAATCGGGAACCGCCGTCCAAGTATCCAGGGCGCAACGGCGTGCATGGCGCCCGAATCGGGGGCATGCGGAGCGGAGTGGAACAGAATACGCCGAATGCGGTGGTGAGAACTTTGGGTGGTTCACAAATTACGCCGGTCCGCCGACGGAGTATCATCCATGTTTTTCGGGTGTAGTTAAGCTATTCCCAATGTCCATGGCCTTCTTTTCACGACGCTTAAGAGCTGATGAAGATACCCACTGCAATCGACCTATCACAAGCAGCAATCGCCACGATGCGGAGGTGAACATGCAGCGCCTTGCGAACACGGCGATGCTCGTACAGCCTGTTTACATCGCACATCACTGCACATGATCCATATTCTCAAATCCAATGCTGAATGAGGTATTCAAAGACCAAATCAAATCTTGAGATTAACGAGTCTAGGCCCGGCACTGGCCTCTTGAATCTATACCGTGTAGCTGTCTGCCTCTTCGTCTTCTTTCAGAGGGTGAGCTGGTTCACCCCTCTCTATTGATGCAAATATATCCGCTTTGACCAGGCATTTCCGACCTTTTCCCAATGCTATGATTATCCGAAACATTTTCCGACCGTATTAAAAACACAAAATCCGGCGGTTCAACATGTGTTGATTGCTCTTGGCGCAAGACCTCGGTGGTATGGCTCATGGCTCAGTTTCACCGTCAGTGCCATCTTCCTCGCCAACCCAATCGTCACTCTCGAGGCCGCGGTTGCGGATGGCGAGGGAGCCAATCCATCCCAAGAGGGCAATACCGCCGAATACGCCCCAGACTAGGGCCTCACCCTTGGGATGGACACGCGTGGAGAGCGTGAAAAGGGAGCCGGAGACGAATGGCCCAAAGCTGCGGCCCGCGGCGGACAGCGTCTGGGCGATGCCGTTCAAGGTTCCCAAAGTAGCATGATTCGGTGCACAGTTTGTGATCTACAGCCAGCATTAGCAAAAATTCATGATTTCAGTCATCCAAAGATGGCTTACCAAGAGCATGACGCTAGACAGGCCGCCCACGGCGCAGATATTCTTGATGATTAAGATAACGCCGAGTTCCGCGTACAGCCAGGCAGAACCGCTGCCGATACCGAACAGCGGCTCGTCGTCCAAGTACGGAATCCAGGGCATCAGGGCCATGCTAACGGCCAGTCCCAGCAAGGCAATGCGATAGGTTCCCAGGTTTCCCAGCCGCGTCTTCAAGTGCTGGAAGAGGAAAGCTTGAAACGCTATAGTAGCCACGCCAGCCAGACTGAGACTGATACCGATCTTGCTTGGCGGAAGACCGCGCCCAGTTGGAGGATTGGCATCGGCGAAAATCGGGTACAAGCTGTTGTAGGAGATGTTGGATAGCTGGAATACTAGGTACGTCAATAGCACAAGCACCGTATTGCGGTTCAAAAGTTGACGCCATGTCGCCAGATCGCCCGGGAGTTTCGCGTCATCGTCGGCCTGGGCATCGTTCTCAGATGCATGGTGCAGCAACCCTTGATCCTCTCCCGCCTCATCCTCGTCATCATCTTCTTCTTCTTCTTCGTCGTCGTCAGTGCTGACCACGGCTTGTGATCCGCGGCGAGGCCAGCGGGTGGCCCATGAGCCTCTGCGCGGTTGCGCTTCTCGCGAAATCCAGGACCAAGCTTTGCGCGCCCAGGCAGGAATCCATGCTGCGTGGTCTGGCTCCAAGGTTTCCAGTGTCTCCTCGAACCAGATTGCGACGACAATCACGCTGATGAACAGTAACCCTGCGCTCAGCAAGTTGGGCGCCAAATATGGGTATCGTTTTCCCATGGTACCAACCAGCAACCCGCCCAGGGCTGGACCCGTAATGCCGCCTAGGGAGTAGATGACGGGAAGCCATGTAAAGGCCCGGCTTTGATTAGAGCGGTCCGTCACTTCGCCTAGGACGGTGGGAACCACGGCAGCGTTACCATTGAGCATACCCATGGCCACATGAACGACTACGATCTGCCAGTAGGTCCTGCAGAAACCGAAACCCACAAAACAGCATGCCAACATGAAGGTGCCAAGAACCATGGTCGGTTTTCTACCCACGACGTCTGATAGGTAGCCCCATAGTAGGTTCGTTGATAATTGAGCGAGGGCGAATGCTGAGGCAAGGATACCGACATACAGACCTGTCTGAGAGTCGGGGATATCGGCGAAGGACTCGACCATCTGAGGCAGGTAAGGGCCGATGGAGTTTAATGCAGTCTGCTCGCTCAAGGAGAGGAAGGCAAGCAAAGCAAGCTGTTTGACAGGCAGAGGAGTCTGCTGGTGATCGTCGTCTGAGGCATCGGAATCTTCATCGGAATGTGGGAAAAGCTCTGCCGAGGATTGCTCGCGGGGGGTCTTGGGAGGTGGTGTCGGAAAGGTGTGATATCTATGAGTAGACTGGCGTCGCATCGTGGTCCTCCGGCTGGACTCGATGTTTCCAAGAGTCGGTATGGGAGCGCCTGCGTGGAATGAACCGGACGAGGCTGTCCGGGACACAGCAGCTGCGCGAGCAATGTTATTGCTGTTGGTGGTGCGAGGCATGTTGGCAGCTGGGGCAATCGAGGCGGCGCAGGGCCTGATGCCAGAGGGCGAACAGATGCAGCTACACAGGTTCTTGCAGCACAAGCGGTGACGTCGTCGAGATGGTCGTCGAGATCGGTCACGGTTTACGGGGGTTATCGGTTTATGATGGTCGGAGATGGGTTCGGTGGTGAGCTGCTTGTTCGGGTGTAGCTGCTGGGACGAGGCTACCCCGCTGCCAGGGTCTCACGGAGATGGAATGCAGAATCGCAACCTCCAGCGCATGGTCTCGAGTTGCCTATAAATGCGAAGCGGCGACGTGGTTTGGGAGGACAACAGGACAATTGACGACTCGGGCACACTGGGGAGGGTGGAGATGTGCGTCTCTCAGTGTCCTGAGCTGGGAGGTGAGAAGACGGAGGAGGAGTTCGAAGGTCGCAAGATGGGCGAGGGGAAGAGAGGCGCGGATAATGTTGCGACGCAATGAAGTAAGGCAATTAATTAAGCGGGTGGTTGAAGAACATGGAAGGTGCTGCAGGTCGGCGGAAGGATATCGGCGGGTAGCTCTCGGCCTGGGCCTGATGCGACGTAAGAGCTGCCCAGAAGAGCAAGCGAAGACGGGGAGAGGTGACGGGTGAAGGTCCAATTGGAAAGAAGCACGGACATGGGTGACCTCATTTTTCAGTACTTTTCTTTTCGTTTTTTTTTTCCCTTCTTTCCCTTTCCTTCCCTCCCTTCGATCCTTCCCTCTGATTTTCCTGGGTACGTAGTCTCTTCGCTTGGGGGCCTGGGGTGATCCGTGCTCAGTGCTCGCGGCTGCCTGTGGCTCGTGCTCAAGACAAAATGAAGGTGGCAGGCGGGAAGTTAAGCTTTCCGCACTGACAGACACCAATCTCACTAACAGCCAATCAACGCACCAGGAGATCGGGGCAGGCACGAGGCTCGCACTGCACTTGCTTCTCGCATCACGCGCAGGAGATGACGCCCACCCTCCAAATCACCACTTTGTCATTGGCTGATGCCATCTGATCTCGGATCTCTCATCTGGCCTTGATCGTCCCAGATCTTCCCTCCCACCCAGTAGACAAAATGTAAACGGCCACTGGAACCCTAACGTTTGACCTCTGCTCTTCTACCATTTGCTATCACAGTCTACACCACCACACGTGTATTCCTCGGCATCTCCAACCGTTCGTCTCTTCGACTGCATCCAATCATTTGACTCAACACACCGTCGGGAATCCGCACCAACATAGTACTCAGCTTTTCAAAGTAGCGGCAGTGTTTACGAGAGACTGCCTTGTGATCAACACATGTTGGCACCAGACTAAATCTCTCCGAGACCGCATCTAACGTGGCAGCGAGACATCTGACACTGGATCAGAAATCCTCCGAAGCTAGCCTCACGCAGGGTCCTGTCGTGTGCTTCTCTAAACTGGCAAAGAGATGGTCCACGATTCTGTGCTAGACATCCCAAAAGAAGAAGAACTACGTCAAGGGCTTCGAATCATGTGCGGATGCTGGTAGCTGGTGGGCGATGCTAGCGAATCTTTCATTGATCTCGTGTCGAAACTATGGTTAAGACTGAGACCAAGTCTTGCAAGATGTCTCTTTGAACGTCTTATGAATGCTCAACAACACAGAGAGAGAGGCGACTGCAAATAGGGCGACCCTGTGAGTCGACAAGATGTCAACCCTTTTATGATCGCTAGCGTAAACGGATCACGGATGTCCATGCCATGATATATTTAGACAGACGCGACTCAATATCTCGGTAACATTCACCGACAAACAGCTCCCAATACCGAGCTCGTGCGAAACCTTCGTCTTGATCCTTGTCTGT